CATTTGCCCTAAAAGTTGGACTTCAATTTATAAAATATGATTTATTTTAGTAAAAAATCGTTGTAAATTTGAGTCAAACAAGCAATGAACATCCGTAATAAAAAGCACATCCTCAACACAGAGCCCACTGAAGCACTTATGTTTCTGGTCTATGCTTCAGTTTATATATACATATTTGTATTTATATATTTACACAGTACATGACTACAACAAAGGGGTGTGTACAACAAACGACAAGTACCAGCAACTGCACCACAAAATGTCCACTTTAATGAAAGTTTCGCAGAAACTCTTTTGCACTGCCTACTAATGCATGCATATGCGGCACCCATAATTATTGAAGGCATGCAATGTGAATATTTGTCAGTTTAGCCCCACATTATTTCGGAACATATGTTTGTAACAGCTATGTGGGGGATGTCTATTCTATTCTTTTCTGCTTGATTTGGATTGCATGTTTTCCATTAACTTGAAGGAAAGGAAACAGCAACTTCATAATGTTAGTGCTTAAGCTCCAGAGAATCTTATGGACCAAAATTAAGCAAGTCTGAAGAAGATACATATGCATGCATATATATAGATTTAATTTTGTTGTTATTTAACTATATATATATATTAACTTAAAGAAAGTGTGTCCCCAGTTCGACTCTCCTCCTTTCCTTTTGCAATTTTTCTGCATTTTACAGAAGGAGCCTACGCGTTCAACTTCCAGTTCAATAAACTTTTGCGAAAAGCGTTTGCCTACATAGTTTGTGGCTCAGCTTGTTTATACACTTCCACAGGGTACATTTTGGAATGAAATTGGAAAATCAGAAAAGAAAATATTTTGGTCCCTATTAAAAATATAAGCCAGATCAACTGATGAATCGATCTAAGCCATACGAGAATCTTATCAAATATGAGTTGTGATAAAATTAACTCAATAAAACTTGGATACAATCTTTACAATTTGTTTTATTATTATTATATATTTTTTAATTAATATAATATTATTTAATTAATCCCATAAATAGCAGGCAAAAATATAGGTGTCCGAGAAACTACGCTCCTATTTCCTATTTTTTTACTATCCCCTTTCTTTCTCCTGCGTTATATAGTATTATATATATAATAATAACGATTTTTCTTTACTGCACTTTGCAGTTGTATATACGAGTGCTGTGTGAGTACAACTGACGTTTATTAACTCGTTTTATATATGTAGAGGTCCTGGTCGGACAGTGTAAGTTTGTAAGTGCGGAAAAAGTTGTACTGCAGCGTTCCAGGCGACTTGTAAAGAAAAGGACACCAAGGAAGGCAGTCGAATGATATGAAAGGTCCACTGACCGCTGTTGGTGGTGTGGCGGCAATAGTAATTGTTCTTTGGCTTTTAACAAATCGATTCCCCATTGCCACTAGCCGCAAATTGCAGCCTTTACTGCCTGCATTGCAACAACTGAAAACTGAAGGAATTAACAACAAATACTGAATAGTTGTAAAAGACTTAATTGCCGAAGAGAGCTTCCCGACAAAGATTGGTGCAGGCATTTAATTTCGATCCATATTCAGATGTAAATAACGACCATAAGCACAAGTAATATGCAGTTAAGTTAAAATGAGGAGTTAATGAATACTATTTTGATGGAACTTATATATATTTAATATTAAATAAACTAGAATAACTTAATAAACTATAATAACTTATTTGATAAAAGAATAAAACTTACTGTCCTTTTAAAATATAAACATAATTCTTAGATGTCAAGTTTTTATATTACTTTCTACTCAATTTTAATTAATTTGTTGCTTCTTACTATTCGACATCCCATTTGGATTCGTTTTAAATTATAGAGAACCAATAGTTTTTATTTAAAAAAAATTTAAAAATAAAATATATTAAAATAAGAGATAAAAATAAAACATACCTTCGCCATCAACAGTATTGTTAACCATTTTATATTATTTTCGGTGGAATGTAAAACCGAAAAATTTAAGAAAAATCACATAAAATCTCTGAAAAAAACAAAATGAAAAAAGATACAAAAATTTGGTCTTTAAACGAATAAAAGAATTACATAAAATAAAAATTCTATTATTTATTATTTGATGGAAAGTTTTGTGAAATTGAAGTCATATAAAGGGGTAAAACCATGGACTATATAGAAAAAGAGCTATAATTTTTGCCTTATATTTATTCAAGTATTTCTATGACATCGAGTCCGATTCGAATGTTAAAATATACATATGTACAAATACCACTTAAAGATGACATACATTCGAACACATGTACATACATATGTACAGAAGAAATTTAAACAAATTGAACTCTTATTTAAGTTAATTTACGACCTTCAACCAACCTGATTTCTTTACGCTGATTGAAACTAATGGCGACTAGAACCCCAAGATGCCATAACTAAAATTTATCCTCTTTATTTTCTCTCTCTCTCTCTCCGTGTTTTCTTGCATGTAAAGTTCCTTTTTATACTCTTGCAGGAAATATTAATATTAATATTATATTCGGAAGCAGAATGTTTTTTTACCAAGTTTCCTATAATTAAATATTTACACATACATATGTATATTAAAAATAAATAAATTCAAATTTGTTTTTAACTTTCTGATCGGATAAAATATCCTTGTAGTTCTATTATTTCTACCTCAACTGTAAGTGCATGCATACACAATTGAATATATGTATGTATGTATATCTATGGATGTATTTTGCCACAAGCTGTGTCCCAGAATTGGCATGCCCTAAGTCTCCCCTGCTTTTGCCCTTACATAGGAACAGGCTATGTATGTACATACACACATAATGTATGTACATATACATATGACATATGTGTAAGCAAACAAAGCATCATTCCAATAAGAAAGCAATAAAACCCACGCAGCTTACATACATACATACATACATATAGCGAGCACATCATTACAGCAACAAAAAGAACAGTAAGAAAGTGCAAGGGCAAAAAGCAGCAAAGACAAGAAGAACGCCAAGTTACTGTTGTTTGGCAACTGCGCAGTGGGCGAATACAAAAAAAAAGGGATCTTGCACCGGCGCAAACCGGATTCAAAGAGTTTAAGCGAACTTACCGACAACAAAATGCTCGCACTGAACGCCGACTGCAGCGTTTGTTGTTAATAACTATATAGAACACGGAAACACAAAGTTTAAAGTTTTAAAATGTTAACAAATCGACAAATTGAACAGATCTTCGGCCAGCGGTGCGATCGCGTCGATGAAAAAACACAAATGCGCCAGGAAGCAGCACAAAGCAGAAAGGAAAACGAAGCAGCGATGTATCGTCCGTGCAAATGTACACTGAAAGAAAAATGTTTCGAAATTTAAGATTATTGATTAAAATATTGATTAAATAATATAAAGATAATATTAGTTAAAGTATTGTTGGCTGGTTTTCCTCATTATTTAGTTTTATTTTATTAATTTATATATATTTATTGTCGCCGGAATCGTTCGGAGCCATTTAACATAATCGGCCGTTTAGAAGATGGGGAGGTGAATATGCTACACATGGGATATTTCCAAGTTATGGACAATTTAAAATTAAGTACAATCTTATTGTACAAAACGGGTGGAGTCTCTTTAACCTTCTAAGAGGTTGCAGGAGAGTCATTCTAAATTCAATAATTAGTACATTCTAAATGAATATTTAAGCTTCAATGAAAACCAATAAAACAATATGATAATAATAAGACATTGAAATTCTTAACATACAACTGTTTTAAGTCATTTAGTAAATAAAGTTATTTGAAAAACTAAGTATGGTTAAAATTGCATTCTTATTAATAATTTTTGATCTTATGTTGGAAATAAAATTTAAGAACGCATAAAATCTTATATGGTGACATTATTTTTATCAGTGCATATATCAATACATACATATGGACGTCGCGGTCGGTGGACACCAGCTGTGCTTTGTTGTTGGTGGGAAGCTGCGCTTTCGAAATGGGAAATATAACAGCTGTCGATATGTTTGTATGTTGCTTTTTGGCGGTTGCAATTCAAATGACAATTTTAAACTGAACGGCAGTTTATCGGCAAGCAGGTTTTGAGGCGCCGAAAGTAAAGCCAAGTCTACCTAACCCAATTGAATCATTTCTTTCTTCTCAGCTTGTTTTCTTTGTTACGATTTATTATTAGCTCTACACTCAGAAATTTTTTATTGTATTAATTTATTTCTGAATTTTAATAACGCCATTTAAAGGTTTTATCCAAGCCGGATCGATTCGTGTTTCGGCAAAGCTTAAAATTAATTAAACATAAAATTAAAATTACATAAAATATATACAAAATATAAAAAAAATGGTATTGGTTTGTCAACCCTTATCATGGTTGTGTATTGTATGTATATATATGTACATATAATCGATCCGAATCACCGATGAGTCACAAGTACTTGAATTTTTTTTCTTTAAGTGTCGGAGCTGATATCAATTAAAAGATCTTTAGAAAACTACCTGAGCTGTGACGCGATGCAAATGTTTAAAAAATAAAACGCTTATTTGTGTACTAATGAAATTTAAATAACTTATACATTATACAGATTATTGGTGAACAAAACCTTTATTAAATATATAAGTACAAATAAAAATCAATGTAAGACTGGAAAAACTTTGGGAAATATTAAATTTTATTCAAAGTCTTCAACCATTGCATCAATAAATTTCCCTTACGTCTTTATCAAAGTTTTAAACCTTTCCTTATAACAGTTGAAGTGGTTCCATTCCCAATTCGTATAATATTGCATAAAACAGAATTAGTGAAGGAACATTTTCGATATTTAATAACATTTGAATAATAGTATATCGATGTTAACTACTAAAACTTGTTAATAATAAAAAGATGCATTTTCTGCTAGTTGCAGTAAGAAAGGTTGGTTTTTAAATAAATGATAATAAATCTATATTATATACAGACACTGGGACAATAAGAATTTAACGACATAAATATTTACTTATTTGATACAACCTATCGGTATTGGTATTTTGACACGATTGCCCATCTCTAATTAAGTGTACGTGGATTTTTGACTAAACGCTCGGCCTAAAAACAGAGACGGCACAGGTGCACCTTAAAGTCCCCTTGAGTAGAACAAGCTATGAGGAGCAGTGACCACTGAGCGGCCCCCACCAGCAGTGCCCAGCCAGCGTTAGCCGGACTTTGTCAGCGCCTCGACCCAATTAGATGTGCCCGCACCGCCGCTGCTTCAGCTGATAAAAGTCGAGTCCCCGTCCGCTGTTCGTTCGGTCGATTGTCATCCATTATTGATAATAATGGCCCCCACCCGTCGCCGTGCTAGCGACGGCTTGCTGGCCCGTGTAAACTTTCCCCTGTATGCCGTCGATATGCTGACCAGCCGCCACATCCTGGTGGCCGGTGGTGGCGGCTCCAGCAAGACGGGCGTGGCGAACGGCTTTGTAAGGATAACCAAAACCACTCGCTGGGCGCTTCTAATGACTGATTCTCTTTTAGGAGATTTACGAGCTGTATCACAACGGCAGCCACTTCTGTGCGGAGGAGGTGCTGCGCCATGAGACCGGCGCCAATGTGGTGATGAACTTTGCCGTGAGTAACGGCGGCCGAAGAGGCTATCTATGCGCCGGCCAGGAGGCTCACTGTCAGATGTACTACGTTCAGCCACGAGTGGAGTCCGAGGAGGATGCCAACGGAAATGGAAAGCCGGCCCCGACAGAACGGCCACATGAAAACGGAAATGTGCGACAGCGCAATGCACACTCGGGTGTGGAGCCAGTGGCCAACGGACATAAACCGGCTGCCTCCGCGGCTGATATTTTGCGGCAGTTCCAGCGCCTGCGCTTCGACATCCAAGCGGCGGATGTGGTGCAAACGGATTTCTTGAAGGGCGCCGAGCCGCTGCAGCGTGTGGTGCGCATTAGTGGCAATGGACGCTTAATGGCCACCGGCGGCACAGACGGAAAGCTGCGTGTTTGGACTTTCCCGCAAATGACCCTGGGCGCCGAGCTGGCGGCGCACACCAAGGAAATCGATGACCTGGATTTTAGTCCCGACAGCAAGCGCATTGCCAGCATCTCCAAGGATGGCCAGGGACTGGTGTGGGATCTCGCCAGTGGCAAGTTGCAGCACAAGCTGCAGTGGCAAACACCCGAGGGGGCCAAGTACCTGTTCAAGCGATGCCGTTATGGAACTGTCGAGGCACAAAAGGATCAATACCGCCTCTTCACCATCGCCAATCCATTGGGAAAAGTTGGAAAACAGCGGGGATTTCTGCAGCATTGGGACTGCACTAGTGGCGAGTTGCGTCAGGCTGTGGCCATCGACGAGAGTCTGTCGTCGCTCGCGGTCCGGGATGACGGGCGATTTGTGGCAGTTGGCACGATGTTCTCGGGCAGCGTATCCATTTACATAGCATTCAGTTTGCAGGTGAGAATCGGACTTCGAAATGTAATCCGCTGTATACTCACATTTCCATTTTGTAGCGCGTGCTCCACATTCCCCATGCACACTCCATGTTCGTGACGGGTCTTCAGTTCCTGCCCATCACCAATGAGGAGGGGCCGCCCATCAGCAGCGACACGGAAGCAGCGGTGCTTTCCATCTCGGTGGATAACAAAGTTTGCATTCACAGTTTGCCCCAAAGGCGTAAGCAAGGAATCTCAAAAATTAAGGAAAAACTATCTAATTCTCCCTTTATGATCTCTTGCAGGTACAATTCCCGCCTGGGTTGCCATTATCTTCATTGTCGTCATGATTTTCGCCGTATTTGTGCTGTGCTCCTACGTTGGAATCTAATGAAGATGATGAGGATGATGATGATGGAGTCTTGTCTCTCGGTGGCAACAAGTTTAATTTGCATTATTAGTTTGTAAACTCGGTTTAGTTTCTTTGTCTTCGCCCCTTCCCCGACTTACTCATTTGTTAATTAATTTAAGGGTATTGTTTGTGCCGGCTGCCTTATCTCTTACACTAATTGCACTTATCGCTTAGTTGTACCATAATTTGCTTATCTCTCTATAGCCTCCCTGTAGGCCGTCTGTGGCTTGAACGAATCGTCATTTGTACATGATTTCCCTTGCTTTCCCTTCCCGTTTAAATATATTGAAAAGAAAGAACAGGTTAAAGGACAGGACGTACCGGTTCTTTAAGTCAAATTAAATATATGTAGAATCCTTTTTATAATAATAAAAAAAAGATTGTTACCAGAACTATGGAACAGTATAGTCACAAATGAATGATTTGTAAACAAAAAAAATAGACAATTATATAATGGGAAACAAATTATTTAAAAGATTATTTTCCTTTAAATAAGGTTTACAGCTCAGGGCATTAACAACTGCTGCAACTATGCTCAATTGGTGGAAAAGGTGCCAAGATAATGGAGGGTACTAAGAGATTGGGTATCCTGGAAAGCAGTCCTGTGCTGATGGATCATTTTGGATCATTTTCTGTCACAGCAGAGTTGGTCCCCTACGATGGGAAAACTTTTAAAGAACATAATGGAGCATCGTAAACAAACAGAGCGGCGAGCTTTAATAGAGGAGTGGAACCTAAGGTTGACTTTCATATCTTATAGTATCCAGAGCGTGACTTACATTTCCTATAGTATCCACAGTATCAAAATTTACCATTAAATATACCATATATTTGCTCTCGAGATTAACGTTCCACCATAATAAGTGATCAATTCTTGTAAGTATATATGTAGAGATTATTACACATTTTTTTTATTGAATTTCATATTTGTTTTTGCATTTTTTCGTTCAATATTTGATGCTACAATTTAGGCCTAAATATTAACTTATACATTAACATAGCGTTTACAAAAAATTATTATGTTTTGACGCCAATAATTTTAATTGTTATCTTGTTGTTGCTTTTTGCTTATCAGTTCAATATTCTCCGTATTGTAAAATGTTATATTTATGATTACCGCTTCTGTTTTTGTTTTCGTTTTTTGTGTTTATTTTTATTTTGTTTACTTCTCAATGACTTGTTTGTTTAGTGTATGTTTCGTATATAAAATATAAAATGCATATCAAATGGCGGATAGATGATGTGGATTGATGGTGTTGGGGAAGAGGGTTGGAGTTTGGCGAGCAGGATTCTCATTTCAGTAATAAATAAGTGTTATAGTTATCATATATGTATATATATTAAATGCCAATATGGCCTTACATACGTTATTTCATTATTATGCGCATTAATTAATGCACGTAGTGTATTATTGTGTACGGTTTACGGTTGGGTCTCATTAAGTAAAATTAGTGATGCAAATGCTTAATACCCATTATAATGCCAATCGTTGCAATTTGACTAAAAGTGACAACACAGGGAATATACATAGGTATATCTACCAAATAATAATGCAAAAAATTTACATACAAGGTATAATTTCATTTAAAAAAACAAATCATAGATTTAACAAAAATCGATTCAAGAAATCTTGAGTTTTATGGAGCAAAAGAAATTTTTAAAAACAAATTTTCTCTCTCTTTATAATACTTTTGGCATTTTCTCTTTTGCTGCTAAAAAAATCCTCTCACTCTCTTATTTATTCTCTTTCTCTGTAGGCCCAACCTCGAACCTCGAACGTCGAAAGAAGTAACTAAAACTAATTTCAGTTAAAATTTGTTTGGACAGTCTTTATGCTGGTTGGGCGGATCGACCGGACCCATTCACGAGGCCTTTGCAAACTGGATAACCGAGCTCATCCTCATCACCTTGGACCCCGATCCGGTCCCGTCCCCTACGCCAGCTGTATCGTTGATGCCGGACGAGGCGATTGCCTCATCCCCGCCAGATCCCAGACCCTTGTCCGTCGCCTCGCCCTGGCTGCCTCCATCGCCCTTGTTCATATAGTGCTTGCGCTTGCGCAACGGCAGGGTCATCACATTGCGATCGGCCATCATCAGGGAATCACTCTCCGGCGAGGAACTTCTCTCAGGTGACTCCGTACTTGACCGCAGTCCAATGGCAGCCTCCACGCGGCGCACAATGTCCGGATTGGGCAGGGCGGATCTGTAAGTGGAAAAAAATATAAGAGTTTAGTAACGGTTTCAGTTAATTAAATAGAAATTCATCAACTTACTCGTACTTTGGCACCGGAGCGTATCCCTTGTGCAGTCCATGACGGGCTAAATCACCCCGCTTAAAGTGCTCAATCAGTACGGTGGCCTCATGGGTGTCATCATAGTTGGCCGCCAGGTCACTGACGTGCAGCGTGGGCTGTTGCTGTTGCAGCATCTGAGGTGGCATCTCCAGCTCTTGCGGTTGAGGAGGCGACGCCGCATGACCACGACGCAGCTGCATCATTTGCCAGGCAGCGGCATGCACGTCTTCATCCTGGACCTGATGATCACCATTGTGATCGTGATGACGACGCGCCATGTTGGCCGCCTCAAGCAGCGCTGGATTGATCGTGAGACCAGGGGCAGCATGAGGCTGCAGCTCCAAAAGACTGGGCGCCTGCTCTTGGTAATAGCTAGTCTTCACCTGGCTCGGCGCCACCTGACTCTGGCCCTGTTGTTGCTGCATGCTCAGGTCCGTGGGCAGCTCCTCTTCTGGATAACTAATGTGAGCTGTCGGCTGGGCACTTGCCACTCCACTGTCCCGACTCCGAGCATCTGGTTCCACGTGTCCGTTCAGATAATGAGCCGAGGTGGGCGGTGGCGAGGCCAGGCTGCTGGCTGATGGCGAGTACGTGGAGCTAAGGGAACTGGGCGAGAGTGGCGAAGAGGAGGCGTTGACAGTAGCTGCTGCCGCTGCTGCTGCTGCAGCTGCCGCTGCTTTAGCTCCACGTGGCTGACGCGGCTGACGAGATTTTTTCGTGGCCGGCGGAGATCCTGGAGGCGAGTTATTGCTGCTCTCCGAGTTGCTGCTTACGCCCTGCGAGGACGGAGAACCGGCCGAGGAGGAGCCCGTTGATGCCGTGGCCGCTGCTGCTGCCGCCTCCACATCATCGTCGGGTATCTCATTGGCGTGACCCTTGATATGGGCCTCCATCTCCTTCTTGTTTTTAAATGTCTCGTCACAGATGGTGCACTTGTAGCACTTGGAGCCGTAATGCTGAACGCGATGCAGCTTCAGCACATGATTGTAGCCAAAGTCCCGAAAACAGATGTCACAATGATAGGGCTTCTCGCCCGTATGCGTGCGCGAGTGCACCTTGAGTTGCTTGGAGCAAGTGAAGCCCTTGCCGCAACCGGGCTCCGGGCACTTGTATGGCTTCTCGCCGGTGTGGGTGCGCATGTGGATCACCAGTTGGCCGGACTGTATGAAGGTCTTCTCGCACACGGAGCACTTATGCGGTCGCTCGCCGGTATGGATGCGCATGTGACGATGCAGCTTCCCGGAGTGCTCGAAGGCACGACCGCATACATCGCACTTGTATGGACGCTCTTTGGTGTGAATGCGTCGGTGTACCTGCAGGTTCTCCTTGACGCTGAAGAGCTTATGACAGAACTCACATTCAAAGGGTCTCTCGCCGGTATGGGTGCGGTAGTGTCGGATCTGGATGGAAGAAAAAAGGAGTTAATGCATGCTTTTTTTGGTTGCTTAGTTGGAAACTTACCAGCCTGGCAGGCACGGCGAAGGTCTTCTGGCACACATTGCACTGGTAGGGATCGGCACCGGCAGCCACATTGGCCAGTGGCTTGATAGTTGGACTCTTGGGTATGCCCACCGGCAGACCAGCCTCGTTAAGCTCAATGGCCGGAGAGGATGACGATACAACACCGGCAACCAAGCCACCGTTCAAAGACAACTCGGCGTTCTTGGCATGCGACTTGGTGTGCGATGTGTGTGCCGACTTGCTGCCAAAGGTCATGCCACATTGCTCGCACTTGAACTGTGGCTTATTGGCGGCAGGCTTGCGCTGTTGCGTCGTCGTTGGCGCCGTCGATGTGGTCGGGAATCCAGTGACCGGTGGCTCTGTCTTGATCCTCTGAGCCGCCGTGGGGGAAGCGGTTGTTATAATACTTTCGTGTTGCTGCTGCTGCTGTTGCTGCTGCATGGTCAGCTGATAGCTGACAAATTGTTGCTTCTGCTCCTGCTGACGATGATGTTGCTGCTGCTGCTGCTGTTGCTGCTGGAGTTGCAGCTGTCGCTGCTGTGGGGTTTGGAGGAGTTCATAGTGCTCTGGTTGGGCGCCCGAGGAGGTGACCATACCTGCCGCACTGGTGCTCATTGCCGTCAGCGGAGGCGGCACCTGGAGGCAAAATTGCGCCTGACTGGGTTGCTCCGTTTTTATGAGCAATTGATTAGCGGGATAGTAAACCATGTTGGTTCCGTCTGAATCTGAAATGAGGAAGAAGGAAAATTAAATTTAAAATTCAAAGCATTTATTTTAAATAAATTTAAATAATATATCAAGTTTTGTATACAGATTATACAGATACTCCCTTAATTATTATAATAATATACATAAGTTTATAGAAGACACCTCACCTGCCCAGCAGGTTATCCTGATCATGATCCTGCGTCACGGAAAAGAAAAAACCAGAAACAAACAACGAAAACCCCCCAGCAAACCTCAAAAGTTAGATACGGGTGGATGGGTGGAAAAGCCTTGCGTAGAGGGGGTTAAGGAAAAACCCACCCCGGGAATTTTTACTACTACGCACTTTCTGTTATTGCCGGCCGGAGTTTTCCGAGGAGAAAAACTTATGGGAGAGAAGGAAACGGAAATAAGGGGAGGGAAATTCATTGAGAGATACGCTACGCACTTTTTGAATTACAAAGAATTTCCCTTTAAGGGATTTTCACCCAACCCAGCGAGAGCTTTCCAACCGGCATTTCTTTTCCCTCTCTCTCTCACTCTCTTCCTCCTTAAGCTGATATAAAACCCCCAAAAACCTCCCCCCAAAGCCCAATTTTCGTATACCAAAACAAGATGGCGTCAAGAACAGAGGGGGGAGTTTGTATGGAGTTTTCCGGAAAAACATTCTCAATTAGTTACCTTTTGCAGGCGGTTTCTTGACTGCACCTTTAGTCTTGGTCTTGGTTATATCCATCAGTTCAGTGCCCGATTTATTGAGAACATCCTTAATCCATATTTGCTTGGTTGTCCAAGTCTTGGTATTATTCCTACTCTCAGTCATTTTGTTTCCTTTCGATAAACTCAATGATTTATCCGTTTTGATTGATTAAAATCCAGTTGCATAGAGAATTGTAAACATTTCCTCAAGTTTTATGGGAGATCTTGTTGTGTTGCTTAAACTATATAGTATCTACTAGGCTGATTAATCGGATTTGGATTGCAAAATCAGACTTTAGGAGAACATTTGTCAGTCCCTTGAGTTCATGTACATCTATAGGCAGCAGTCTTAGGATTAATATTGATTCAGTACTCAAATTTTAGACAAGAATTTTCATTTGCCGTGTGATCTTCTCCTTGATCAGATTCTTCTTAATGATTTTGATGATTTTCTTCAAATCCTTGGATTGTTGCACGGGATAGGTGTGCTGATAGACTTGAATATTTTGCGGTGGCTGATGGCGATGGTTATGGTATTGATGGTGGTGACCGCATTGACCCGATCCTTTATTCATTCGCATTTTTCTAAACGATCTTAAGATTTCGTTCATTGAGAAATCGGTCATTTTCGAGCGTACACACACACATCTATCTACGCACAACACAACACACGAATTACACACACGAGTGGCAGAGTTACGGACGGCACACGAGGTTCTATTCTGTTCGATGGTGCAACGGAGACTGGTGGGTGAGTTGTCAAAAATTGGGCCTCAAACCCAGGAAAGAGCATGGGAAAACCAACCACCATCAACAACTCCCCCCAATTCGATCTGAAAATTCCCTCAATGGGAAATTCCATTTGGAAAATGTTTGAGCCGAGGGAATTATTCGAGTGAATTTCCGTTTGAGTAGTTTTGCTACTCTAGATAAGGGAAATTATACCGTACATCATAAATTCCCTTTGCGCGGCAGAGTAAAGCCCATTCTTATCAATGTTTTATTTGTGGAACTTTGTTAGTCATGACGAGTATGATATTTTAATCAATAGAGATATATATGAATATATATACACATATATTCCCACCAGGCATTTCCGAACTAAAATAAATATAGCCCGTAATCGCCTTTAAAGATAAGCTTTTATATTTTCAACCGACATACCTAACCAAATATGACAGTAGAGTTGGAGGGATTAAGATAAATTGTATAATAAATTTATAATATAATATATATGAACATATTTATGTATAATAAAAAATGTTTTAATGTTTTAGTTAAATTTTATTTGTATAATTAATCTCGAATATTCAAATATTCCACGCTTCTATGAAACCCAATCCCCACCCTTAAACTATTCCCAACTATATAAAACAAAAGGCAAACGCCAAAAACACAAATGTTAAAATACAATATTTTCCATGAAGGCAAGTTCAAAAAACTTTTTTCGGCTTGTTCTTGTTGTTGTTGTTGTTAGTCTTCCCAATGTTTATTCGTCAGAGCGTTAAACTAGCACAAAAGTTCATTAACATTCGACACAAAAAAATAAAAAACTATTTCTGTGTGAGTGTTATTGTGAAGGCGAAGAAGAAGTGAGAGCAGCGGACGCGTTCTCCTCTGGGGGCTACCCAACTAAAAAGTATCTGAAGGTATGGACAACAACAACAGAACAAAAAAATGAAATGTTTTCGGGGGAAAACACAACACATTTATCTATTATGAGGTCAAAAGCATGGCCGAGCTCAGCGTTCGGTCAATGATCGTGGTGATTTCCGAGTGCAGAGCACGACGGCTAAGTCGAAACACCGTTATATTGTTGGGATAGCTCGGAAACTGGTCTCTGGTAAAGTGGTTAGAGATCGAGAGAGATCATGTTTGGATAGATCAGTGAGGTTGCTTTGGGGGAGGCCATAACCACTCACTTCTTGGGGATATCAGTAATAAAGAGGTATTTATTACTGATTGGTGTTATTAAATTTTATATTATTATTATTTAGAAAATATATATATTCCCATCTCCTTCAGCCTGTTAAATACCAGGTATAACATCCTCCTCTATCTATTTATATCCTCATCCATCCACTTAAGCTTTCATAAACAACTCAATACACCATCCCATATCTCTCGCCTCGCACTCAACTCTACCTTTACCTTGCCCAGATCCAGATACAGATCCAGATTTATATAGTATGTTTTTCGGTGGTGCTTTAGGTTTTGGTGTTTGCTGTTGGCGTCTTCTTTCGTGGACTTTCTTGGAGGTCAATGAACATTTAAATATAAGCAAAGTGTAAGCTTTTCTCCCTCACTCTCTCCCTTTTCTCAAGTTGAGTGTTTTCTGCTCTAATATCGGTAATATTATTTATAGTAGTGTCTGGGTAGAGTTCTTATTACCTTTAAACATTTCCTAAAAAAGGAATACACGATAAAATTTAATTCAGACATTAGATATTTAAATAAAATGTGGCAATAGTATTTTTTTTTCAACTTAAGGTGAGCAACGCGCGTGGCTTACATTTGAAACACATTTAAACTCTATTGAATTTATACTCCACGTGTTTGAAATATATCAACCTTTCCTATTTCCTAATTTGAAGGATCAAATGTAGACCAAGATCAAGAATAAATCAATTTGATTACTTAGTATTTGTCTAATAAGTATTTGCCAAAAGCTTTTCAAAACAGGAAACCCAAACAAGAACTATTAAAAGCGATAAGATACGTTTACTATTGAAATTAAAGCGTGTTGGAAATTCCCAAAGGGCAACCTATGCTTACAGGAAAGGCAAATAATTTGGCGGAAAGTTCCATTGCTTTCATTGATTAAATTTTGTTTAAATATCATGACGTATATACATATTTGAAATGAGACTGATTTGCGGATTGTGAAAACTTTTGAGACTTTTTAAAATTCTCCAAAATAATCATGAATTAATGTATTATTTTCCTTGTGTTCGGTTTCCCAAAGGCTATAGTTTGCTTTTTATATACAAATCTATATTGCGAAGGTCTAGACAAGTTGTCGAAGCGTGTGCTGCGCTGCCGCTGCCGCTGTCTCAGCCGACGTCAACGTCTACGCCAAGGAGCACGCACAATTTGCGTGGGGAGGCAACGGCAGCGGCGGTGCGGTTAGCCTAGGTCAAAAAGCGAAAAAGACAGAGCGTTGTCAGCGAGTTACAGTTGAGCGAGAACGCACACGCACATACACTCATACTGCTAATGACGCAGTTCTGGGTTCGGGGTTGGGGGAAATTTGCCAGCGTAGAGATACCGCGCGTGCAAATGATATAATACGTAAAGTACCAAATATGGCGTAATCTTCTCAGCTAGTGTTGCGCTAGTTGGCGAAATTAAATACTTGCGGTAAAAACAATGTGAGTATTAAAGAGTCGTGTGCAGAAACAGCAACCCCCATGACGTGTTTCACTTCTCTAGCAACATCAAATATGTATATATGTACATACATTTATACATACTGACATCTGTATGTACATAAATGGCGCAGCAAGAGCACCTTCCCTTTCGTTTGACATTCCACCCCCCACACCCACACTCGCTGCTACTGCACCAGTCACCGCTTACTCACTGCAGAGAGCAACACAGCGAGAGAGAGAGAGAGAATGAGAGACTATGAAAGAGAGAGGGTGGGTGGGTGAGCGAGTCAGCACGCGCATTGATTGTGTGGCTGTCGAAAACAGAGGCACGGCCTCCTTATGGCAACGCTTGGTATAGTATCGCACTGAGGCTGTCGAAAACTCATGCACGCCCTCCACGTGTAGTTCAAGTTCAAGACAACAATGAGAACGAGTGGATGCGCGAATGTGAGAGTGCAGCACTGTCACAGTCGCTGCCTGCGCTGGCGCTGCAGTTGACGCTGCAGTCGGAAATCAATGTGTGCGTCTGTTTGTGTGTGTGCTTGCTTTCTGCCAATTTCGCATTGCATACTTTTTTTGAGCCCTTGAAGAGATTGCATTCAATCAAAGAGTTCGAAGTAAAGTTTCAGAGTAATCAAAGGGCCAAATATGGCTCTTTTGCATTAATTACAAATACTCAATGAGAAACAACCGCCATCATTAAGCGGCAGCAACGACGTCGCAGAACAACCTCAATCCAACAAAAGGGTCAACGAACTACGAAAAAAAGCTCGCAACGATACTTTTCTCGAAAAGTGTAAAGAGAAGAAAGAAGAATTGAGTTTATGTATGTATGTGTGTGTGTGTGTGTGTGTGCTGTGATCGCAGCAGGGGCAACGACAACAACCACAGGCACTCTTAATACATACAATTTGTTTTTGGAAACCCCAAAAGCAAATACAATAAGTAATAAAGGCGAAAAAAGAGACAAGCAGCAGCAGCAGCAGCAGAACAACAAAGGGGGCTGCATGCACAAGTGTTTCTTTTTTTTATGTTCCGAATTTCTTTCTTTCGCCCTCTCTTTCTCTCTCCGGGCATATTGTATAAACTTTACATTATTTTTTTTTGTTCTCGAACAATATCGAAATACATTTTTACGGCGACTTAAAAATAATTATAATCAGTCACTCGGACTCGGGTGAACTTTTTCTGGGGGAGTGCCTTTGGTTCTGGAAATCTTTGAAATCGCCTTCTGGCAGAAAAACGAGTTTTTCAAAAGCTTCCGGTGACAATATATCGAAAGGGCGTTTTCCGGGGGCGTGTTTTGTGCAAAAGTGGTTCAATTTTCGGCTTTCAAAGTGCATTTCCGCCACACATTTAATTTTAGCCGATCAAATACTTCCTTGCTGCGAAAGTACATGAAATACATGTACAGTTTCTTCAATTACAAAAAATCATGTCCTTATCGAGTGATATTTAAACTCTACTTTATAAACTTTATTGTTAAATTAAAGTTTTTACTAAAAACCATAATTTGAAAACTGTTTCTAAGTAAGAAATATAACTTCCAAAATATGTCCTTGTAGATTTAGAAGTAAATTAAATTCAAGCGAGGACAAGAACCCAATGAACAAGTGAACAATTCATTTTCATTTCTCAACTCTGTATATATTTGGTTCCGTTGTCGCTCGCACAGAATTGAGCTAGCAGAGCGAGTATCTTGCAGATACCAAACACAGAACGCTTTATGTACACACATATGTGGTATTTATTTTTTGGCAAAACACGTTTGACAGGTTGCCTGCCCGCCAGCAGCGACCACTAGCCCCGCAAAGCCTGAAAATGTTAGAATTATTCCGTTCTGTTTCCAATAAAATCACTGACCAAACGTAAGCAACAAAATGTTATCGGCTGATTTCGCTAATTTAGCAAAATTACTGACTGGCCTTCGGTTACTCAGTGCAGTCCGGGGAGAGATGATGCTGAGAAAATGAATAGCAACACACACACACACTCAAATTTTTAGTGAGTGAATGCTAATTTCGCGCCAGAAAGAGATGGCATTAGCATCACGACGCCTTGAACTTGAATTTCGGAGAGAGGGAAAAAAAGTACAGACCTTCAATCGAAGCTCGGTACAGCCGAAAAGTTGAAAATTTAATAAAAAGCATAACATAACAAGGCGAGAGCGAGAGTGGCAAAAGGGAGCTTGCAGCAGGAGTGCAGCAGGCGCTCAATATTTCGAGCAGCGAGCAGCAGCAGCAGCGGCGGGCAGCGTCAAAGTGACGCGTTGCCTGCTGCAGCCTTGTCCTTGAACTTGGCAAACATTTTTTTGTTGCTGTACCTATGTATGTGTATGTTTGTATATTGCAAGTTTAAGGACACAAACACACTGGCAATGCGCTTTCAAACATATAAGTTGAGAGCTGCAGCTGCAAAAGCTGGCAGAGGGCACACTTTGTTCGTATAGGGCTTCATGAGTAAATGAATGCATATGTACAAATGCATATATTTATATACTTTTATCGCATTAGCTACATATGTACGTTAATACATATATGGATACAGAAAGCAAGACGCCATTTTTGCAGTTGAACTGAAAGAGTACGAGATCCTACAGTAATTTCGTACGATCAATTAGCTTTCAAGTTAGGTACATAATTGCTGTTGTAGGGATTCGATTTTACGATTTTCCGAATTATCGAATTTACACCATCAGCAAGACTAGATTTAGTAAATTTTATGTTTATTAAATTAAATTTTAAAATAATGCAACAGTATTACAAAAATCAGATTGCTGCAACAAGAGCTAATGTTAATGATCAGGTTTAGAATCGTTACCATAAAATATACTCATGAAAGTATCGTGATTAAATCGAAGCCTCTGTTTTACGGGCTTAATTTTTAAATAATTTGGTACACTACAGATGTACTAAATTGTTTTCAAGTCCCATCAGTATAGTCGGGTTTCAATAACTGACAATAATAAAAGATTTATTTATACCCTTTGCTGTACTTGCCCCCATGACAAACGATCTTCGTGTGATCTATGTGATTTAAGTTTTCACATATAATGAAATTTTATAAAAATACAATTTAGATTTAAATTTTTTTATATATTTATCTATTTGAGAATATTTCAATGGCAATTAGACTCTGGTATATTTTTTTAAACGGTATAAAACGAAATTTTTAATTCAAAATATGTTATAATAAAAAATCTATAGATCATTAATATTTCTTGTTAAAATGGTGAAATTAAACAGTGAACTAGTACCTAAATTTTAAATTAGCACAAAATATTTGTAGTGCTTAGAATCTTTTTGAATCTGATCGAGTCATTAAACCAAAAGAAACAGAACAAAACAAAAAACAGATATACAGACGGATTGTTAACCAAGGTCAAACGTTTTTATTTATAAAAGAATTTAATAAAAAAGAAACAGCAAATTGGGGAAAAAGAAGGAGCGCGAGAATGAGAGAGGTGATATGGACAACCATTAGATACATAAAGACAAACCTACAGACATACGAGTGATTATACAATATATATCAAAGATACCTTGATAAACAAACAACAATTCTAAATAACGTTCCAAAGCGTCAGCAACAATAACAAATTCCCAAAAAAAATATGGATGGTGGATTTTTGATGCGCCAGAGGGTGGTGCTGCGGGGGAGTGTGCTTCTACAGATACAGAACTTTTTGGGCGCACAGCACACAAAAAGATACAGATACAAAGGCACGCACACCAGTGGCTCGGATTTTACGCATGTCTGCGAACCGGCTTTTTTGCCTTCTTCCCTATCATTCCCCTCCCGGAATTAAACATTTGCGTTAGAATAAATACTTCAGCAAGCTCGCCGCCAGAATGTATCTGTATCCCTCTCAATGATATATATCCAAAGTGGCAAAAGTATCTGCCGGCCGTAGTTGTTGCTGGGGCGTTCCAATACGAAAATTACTGGGGTAGGCAAAGGGTTGGTTTCGTTGTTCAGAGGCATATATAAATCGACGATTCTGGCTTCTACAATGCTCACGAGTTTGTCATGTGATTTTTTGTGTTCTTTGCCGCCGATAAGCGTAAATTTTGTGAATAGACCGCAAAAAAATACCCAAAAATAATGCGAGTTCTTTGCGAAATCGGAGAACGGAGAACGAAGAAAAGGCTGATAAGGTTTTAATTGTATTTTCCCCACTTTTAATTACAGTGCACACTGGATATAATGAAACTAACTGAGTTTTAGTTAATAGAATAGAATATCTTAAACATAACATAACACGGTTTTATTTTAATACAAGTATTTGTAAATATATCTATATTTTCATGTGTTTATATATTCTAGAGTCTACTGTACTTTGCACTCTTTTATAGCAAATAACACTTAAAATTCTTGCTGTGTTGTGTTCTATAAATAAATATCGGTTATTTGCCTTACTGCAAAAAAACCAAGTTGAAAGTACTAAAAATACTTGACTTGGCAATTATCGAGCATAAACGGGGTCCAAAGATGAATACCTGAACGATAAAGTAACAAACAAAAGAATAAATTGCATCATTAAGTCGTTGTCATATGATATAATATGGATTATATGATCATTCATACGAGTAAAGGTAATTTCGTGGAATATTTCAAAGAAAGATTTCCAGAATTCCAATGTGAGATACTTTTAAGTAAAACTGATATGAGTTTAACCAGAAGTTGGCAAGATAGTGACCTTTAAAGGGTCGAAACAAGATCAATTTCGTGAAATAATGTTGCTACCAAGGTTTAGTTCGGCACTTAAGTTATCAACTGTTGAATTTCCGCCTTTCAGTTATTGCTTATAAATCAGTTTACAATCATCCCGTTCCGCCCACCACCCCACCACCCTACCTACCTACCGATGAAGAATTATAATTTAAGCACGGCTCCATTCATTAAAGCGAGGCGAGATAAACTTGAGCGTTTTCCACTTGAATACTCGAACATTTGAATATCGCCCAGAGTGTGATAAGAACTCAGTTGGCTTCGGGCTCCGATAAGTGGCAACAGGTGGAACGTGAATGAACGCAGCTACGACAACGCAAGCTAGCGCGACCCGAAAAGAAAAGCGAATCAAATCAACTTGCCAATTTTTGCGATAGCACCTTTAACGTTGTTCATTTTTTTCTTTTGTTTTATAATCGGTATTTTTTTGCTTTTGCGCCCACCACGACAACAATTTCCTGTGCACATAAATACCTCAATATCAAGTTCCAGAGATTAAAAAACAAAATAAAAAAATGAATTCTTTTGCAATTTGCCAGTTAAAGTTCTTTTCTGATTTCTTTCGGTTTGTTTATATGTTTAGCCCGCCGCCGCCTGACGTTGGCACTGACCTTCGGACACAAAATAAGCGGCTATATCTTTTTATAATGCAACAATTTGCCCGCTACAATGTTAAAGGCTCGTGTCTTACTGGATCCTTATCTGGTGGCCAAAATGACAGGTCTTAAACTGATTTCATTTATAATCGAAATGAAAGTCAATTGAGTTCTGTAATTATTATTATATAATATGCATAGTATGGGTTGACCTTAGAGTGTTATCAAAAATTTGTGTGTGGTCATGATTATGAAGATTTCTGATGAAGTCCTGCCAGCACCACGAGTATCATTCCTATCTGGTTTCTGGTTAACACCTGTTGATACCTACATATGTAGATTAGCTAAATGATCCTTTCAAGTGGCAAGCTTTTATGGGTGACTCACCCTCGGTCAGTGGTGACTCACGACTGCGTAGGAAACCCCTCTTGAAAATCGAATCATTATCAAAAACGGCGAATACCTAGAACAATATAATATTGGACTATTGTCATGATGACTCACTAAGCTCCCTGATTTCTAATTCCATTGACTCATCATTATTACGACTTGAGAACCTGGCCCAATACTACCCAGGGGTGTGTGTGAGTGTCCTGGCCTGTCTTTTTCACTTTCCAACCAGATTCTAATCGGTGAAATACCTGTGTGATTTTTTTCCTGATGGCGTATGTGTTTATAGATCTGTTTTGATATTTTTATGAGCTAATCATTGACGTAAGGGGTTGGGTGTTGATTAAATTATATTTGTATTTATTTATTTAATAAGGGGTTTTTACGTATGCGTATGTATATTGTTGTAATACATTTAGGGGTTGGGTGTTGATTAAATTATATTTGTATTTATTTATTTAATAAGGGGTTTTTACGTATGCGTATGTATATTGTTGTAATACATTTAGGGGTTGGACTTATGTATAACAGAATTAAAAGGTTTACCTATTTTATAAAGTTTATACTTCAATAAGTTTAGTTGCAATAATATGAGTGCTGAAGCTTTCATTTGTATCTCTTACTATATATTTTTATTACTTTAAATGCTTTTAACGTATTCCCAAAATTAGTATTTTTAATAAGATATGTATATATATTTTTGTGGATTTTTTGGATTTTAAAAGGGTTTTCCTATGCATAAAAAAATGATCGCTTTAGGTTTTTATTTAAATATACACATATATAATATATTAAAATTACTTTACGGACTTTTAATATAGTATAAATTTTATGGGTTTTAAAATACGGTTCCTTTGAATTCCATATAAAATTGGATGACTAGTCCACGTATTCCATTAGCTTGTCAGAGAATGAATGATGAAATCATAAGTCTGATTTGTCAAAAAAGCTTAATATTAATCATTTGATATGTAAGGATTAAATTCTTAAGTTCAAGGTACTGTTCTTTTTAAAATAATAAATTAGCTTATTAATCCTTTGTTACCGTCTAGCGTAAGTTTAGAACTTATACCTTACATTTCAGTTATTATGAAAGATTCAAATATTTTTCAGTTCCAACAGATATTTATTTGTAAGACCTTAAGAGTACTTCCAAATTCGATCAAATTGCAGTTTTTTTTTTTTGTTAAAAATAACCTCTTTATTTAAATAAATTATTTTGCTAAATTTCTAATTAAGTTTATAAAAAAAATATTTTAAAAATTATGCACATTAGAATTAGAATTAGTTAAAACTGTATTTTAAACTCACCATAAAATGTAACTGGAAAACAGATCTTCGAATGCAATGTGTAATCCAAATGGGAGGCTTGCGATACTTTTTGCCGATTGCTTAACACTTGTTGGGTGGCTGATTAGCTTGTTGTTCTGGGGGAGTCGCGCGTCTAAACACGCGCGTCGACCAGCGGCAAGTGTTTTCCGCCGAAACTGCGAAACAGACCCGTAGCCGTATCCGTACCCGTACCCGTTACCCGTAATCACAATTGTGTTGCGACAATTCTCTCGCTCTCACTCGCCCGCCGATGACCAATTACAAAATACACACGCCGTTAGAACAGGACCACTTCTGTTTTCTTTTTCTGTTTTATAAGTTTTCACTGTTTTCTGTTTTCTTGTTTTTCTGGTAGTGGTTCGGGTTGGTTATTGTCGTTGTTGTAGCTGAAGAGAGCTGCTGCTGATCGGACAGCGGACGATCGTACGTATACGCGATGCGGGCCCGAAGCTTTCGGGTGTTCGTTCGGGCGTTCGGCTTTTCTCGTCCGAGCTTACTCGCCGTTGCCAGCGGAGGCAGCGCAGCCTTCAATATATATTATAAAATTATTATTTTCAGCTTTTAGAATCGTGCTGCTCTCCGTCCCGCTCTCTCTCTTAGGCTCTCGTCTCTGCCTTCCGATTTCCGTGTATATGTATGAACGGCTCTAATCACGAGTGTGAGTACAAGTGTATTTGTGTGTGGGCCTGCTATTTATTATCTAGCACTCATTGTTGTCTTTGCGCACATTCACACGCCACTATAAACAATATTGACCTAGGTTGTTTCTGTATGTACATATATGTATGTATGTAGCGGATATTATAACTAATGAAGGTTCACGAACGAATATGTTATCGCACTTCTTGATTCTGAGCAATTTTCCACGAAAACACTGCTTTTTGATTTTGCCTCAGTCAGTCTTTAGTTGAAAAAAAAACCACAAACTCACAGACACAGAGTTAAAAAATTGCACTTGGAACTAAACTTTAGTATTGTTGTTGCTCAGTGTGATTTCAGTTAAGGCAAATGAGATCAATTGGTATTATGTCGCGCACTGTATGTGATTTGTTCCTTCTTCTGCAGGGAATATAGCTTTAGCGTTAGCTACTCGAGTTTTTTTTACGTTTAAAGAACGTGTCCGTCCGCGTCGCCTGCTCGTCGAGAAATACGAGAACCGAAAAATTTGCCGAGAACAAAGCTCACAGCGGCAGAGCAGCGACGGAGGCGGCAGCGACTGAGACAGCGACGCCGACTGCGCGGCATTGGTGCAGAATGAAAGTCGCTCGGAACGGATGTCTGTGTGTGTGTGTGTTGTGTGAGCCGGCATTTGCCGCAGCTGCCTCTCACACAGGCAAAGGTGCGTCGTTTTCGCAGTTGTTGTACTTATTCGGCAATCGTTGTTGTTGTTCTTGTTGTTGCTCTCGTTGCTGCTTTGGGCTGGCATCGACGCTCAACTTACTCAATAAAATTTTTATTATGATATCTCTACACGCACACGTTTGAAACGTCGACGCTTTCGGACGGATTGTGGCCGCTGGGCTTTCAGCTTTCCGTTCTTATCGCCGTTTACTTCTGGGCGTATGACGTTTTCCGTCCGAAATTGGCCCGAACCTACGGTTTGTTAACAAAGAAGATGGCCACGACGACCCTGGGGCCAGGAAGAGTTGCCAGTCACTGTCCAAGGTTCGCACAATATGTGATTTGAACTAGCATTGGAACACGTCAAATATTAAGTTATATTTTAAGACATCGGTTATAAAAATTCGTACTAAACAAGAACTAAGTGGTCAAGAAGAAGTGTCAAGAAAGAGTGCTTTTAGTGGCTCTTAATGCTCTTGCTGCTCTCTTAAAGCTGATCATAAATATATTTTGTACAAGTTGAAAAGCATCTCCTTTCCCCATCCATTCTAGCACGCCCTTGTGTTTCTGTTAGTATCGGATATATAAATATAATTTGGAAACGAGAGCAGGGCTGATACATTCCTTTGTTGCTACGAAAAGAGTGTATTGACCTGAAGTAAACGGAGCAGCGACAAAAATGAAAAATAAACCAAGATATGTATAAAGCTATAGTCAGTGCCTCGACGTTGAGTTACTGTGTATATCATTATAGTATTTTCTACAAATGTCTGTATTTAATATGGCTAATATTGTACAGTAACATTTGGTATAAAAATTAAAAAGGAACTCAGAAATTGCTTGTCCCGATCACGGAATACCCGGCCCCAAAGCATTGCCTACTTTTTGGGCGTCTACTGTAATCACACTTTTGTCCTTCTGCTCGAATACAATACACCCTGTTACTCTACGATTTACCCTGTATAATTGGACAACAAAATTATGCATAAATTAATCAGGTGCTGAATTCGGCGAATTCATAAAATTAAGAAATTTCAGTTGACGCGTGACTGAGATGCGGCGACGCTGGCAGCGGCAAAAGAAAAAGTTGCAACAACGCTGAACGCATTTCCTGCGCTGCTGCAGATCAGGGGAGGAAGTCGGGGGCCGGGGCTAAGCCGGCAGGGCTGGAGGGGCGGAGGCGCGATAAATTAAAGCTTCATCCCTTGTGCGACTACGGCAACGACCAACACCAACAGAAATGGCCGAGGCCGAGAGCCACAAGCGAAAACCCCCAAACCCAAGGCGTCTGGCAACGTTGCAAAAAGGGCAACGGCAACGCAAGCAGCGCAGTCAGCGTCAGAGCCAAGCAGCAACCAGGGGCCGCGTGGCGGCCGTGCAACGGCTTTCAACAGCATCGCGAGGACGTGCCACTATTTTCGACACATGCTGCACATGCACATTGGGGGAGGGGGGCAAGCAACAGAGCTCGTGTAGCTCATGCAACGAGCGTACACGAATCTCTTCGTGTCTGTAGCCATGTTTATGCCTCGGATTTAGTGTACTCAAAAGTACATGAAACTAAAATGTGTATCATGATTATCGTATAATATATATCCTTGGAAATATCCAAATGAATTTCAAGTAAAATTGGTACATTTTTATTACTAAGCTTCCAATAATATGGAATGCATTCTAAAACTTAAATGATATAGAATTTATAACAGTTTTAAAAAAGGTATTACTTTTCGTGACTAGATCACTTCGGAAAGCACAAGTTGCATGCAGTTTTAAAATTAATTATAGGATTGTATCTGAATTCAATTATTATTTAAATTAATATTTATCGAGATTTTTATATGAAAATTTTATCGACAAATCAAATATTAAAAAACTTATAACTAAGCCAAAAATTGATTAGTTTCAATTCGGAAGGCTTTCCTGTGTTAGCTTTTATTAAGGTTTTAAGTCTTCATACTGTATTTAAAATAAAAAAAAATAACAAATTTTCAAATTTTTTACAATTTTAATGATGTAACCCCTTATAAACTTTTAAAAAATTTTAAAAAAAATTTGTTTCCACCGGCCATGGCTAAATCAATTCCACTGTTGATCCTGACCATGAATATATATGGTTTATAGGGTCGGAAATGACTCCTTTACAGCATTACAAGCTCCTTAAAATGATAATTATAATTATAAAATTATAATACACTGCAAATAAAATAATATCAAATCGCATAAACGCAATCTGTGTATTTACCCGAAACTTTTCATGCTTTTGTGGGCGTGAATGTTGCGTCGGCTGTCAAGAACTCGAATATCTTTTCTTTGACTGGGTGGGAGGACATCCGTTGAATGTTTGAATTTGTAAATGTATATTTTGGGAGCTCCCTCTGCGAAATTCTTGAAATCAAAATACCTTGCCAAAACTGTCAAATGTTATAAATCAAGATATAAAACTTCGAAATGCATTTCCTCATTAACATCTACAAGATAAAATGATTAGATTCTTACCGTATTGATAATAACTTTAACAATAAGTCTATGCCGAAATATTTAGCCATATTTCAGTTTCAAAACTGAGGATGACGAATAGTTTGTTATTTATTTTATAAAAAGTGTTGTCATAGGTTGTTTAAAAGGCCCTACTTGAATGCTTCACCGGTCTTTATGAAGTTATCTTACATATTGTTTAACTAACAACCTTATATAATATTTGTTTTAGAAGTATGAATATGCAAGTAAACAACAGATATTAAAAAAAAAACTAAAATAGTTAGATACTTAATTATGTCATAAAAATCATTGCAAGACCTGACTTGTTATGCACTTTTTCCATATAGATAACATCGAAAATAAAATGCGCAGCCAAATTTGCGATTACAATTTGAAAAGAATGGGCTCACGTAATCAGGGAGTAAATATTTTGAATCTGTAAGTAATGTCAACACTTGTGTGGAGCTATTAGTTACATCTTCTGAGGCGCAACAAGTTTAGATTGTCGTTGCGACTACCACAACTTTGTAATATTCCCTATTAGATAGGGTAGCCAGGGTCCGGACTCGGCTCTAGAAAATGCTTATCGCCCCGGAGGTTGCATAACTTGGCTGGAATTCATGTAACCAATTACCCTTACACTTGCACCGGGCAATTTATGGCATATATGTATGAAATGTCAAATAGACTCATTTGAATATATATATATGTTTATTCGTGTATACATTTGTATATCCGCAGTCGTGGTCTAAGTACAATAATGCCTTATCCAATCTGATGTAATTCCTATTATTGCGATTGTAATAAATTTGTTTACCAAGATGCAAAAGCAAAACAGACCGATTATTGGATGGAAGGGAAGGGAAGGGAAGGGAAGGGAAGGGAAGGGAAGGGAAGGGAAGGGATGGAAAATACTTGAGAAAAATAGTGTGGATGGAAAATGATCTTGCCGCTCTCTTTTCTATACCTTTTACTTACCTGTTTGTTATTAGGACTTGTAGATGTTTGCTTAAATCATTACATTGTCCCAAGTTAGTAGAGTACTAAACTACTATACTCCTTTCCGTTCTGAATATGTATTCAAAGGTTCATGCTTTATATATCGAGTTATTTTAAACCAAACGGGTTCTTAATTATTCTTTAAAAACTTGAAGTTATAATTCCGAAAACTATAAACTATGCATGAAGAGAGAGGTTGCTTAATTCTAAGTTGAAACTAAGAGTTAAATCAACACTAGAACCGCCTATAAATACTTTGTATTAACCGAAGGTCAAATATACCTCTAAATTTAATACTATATAGAAAAGCAAATACAGGGTTGCTCTAGTTAAAGTATCATTTCTCACATTAATAATAATTATTATTGACCCTCAATTGGTTATCTAGTCGAAAAAGATTTTCACTGTTTTTGTTATTTTTGGTATATGAATTCTTTTACAAATAAATGTAATTCGCTGCACAAGGTAAATACCAGATAAAGTTCTTATAATCCACTAAAAGAGAAAGATTTACAGAGTGATATTTACCAACAAAAAGTGCTGCAAACACTTAACATTGCTTTGTTTCATCTAAAACTGTTTGATTAAATGCAATCGATTTATACACATTTCCGACTCTTTTAATTTCAAGCATTACGGACATAGCAATTGTTGATTGGTCGCTTACCAATTCAATTGTAAATTCAGTGCATCTTATCCATATTCATAGGATATTCACTGTAGAATGGATCAGCTACCGATAATGGAATGATAAGGGAAGGGGCGGCAGCGGCGTAGCCATTTTGCACGTAGGCAGACTGCGTCAATAATAACTGCAGTGACAACTTCCTCTCGCTTGCGAGTATACTCTCCCATTGTAGCTGCACTTCTCTCTGGGGCTTTCTGTCTCTCTACCTTTCTTTTCTCTCCCTATTCTCCCTATCTGTGTGGCTCGCTGGTTCGGTTCATTGACCGCCTACACGTGCATCGTAAACTGATGCACGTCCTCCCTCGAAACGTATAGCGAGCGGCTGTTGAAAACTATTGCACCGCCTCCCCACATTACACGTTGCATTTATCGCATGCACATGTTTGCTGTGCCACCTCCCTCTCTTTCTCGCTTGCTGCATCTTCCTCTCTCGCTCAACTATTAAATGGCTTATTATAGCTAGACAGTATTTCTTACAGTTTGTGTTGTTGCCTGATTTCTCGATATTTGCTTTTCAGCTGCGCGTGGCCTGCACTTGTGTGAGTGTGGAGTCCGCCCCCCTCTTGGCAGTCTCGCTCCCTGTGTGTGTGTGTCCGTGTGTGAGAGCAACAAAGTTGTTCCTATCTC